CCCACCGCACCCCCCCAGCCAGGCCCCACGGCACCCCCCCCCGGGCCAGCCCCCACAGCCCCCCTCCCAGCCAGGCCCCACGGCACCCTCTCCCAGCCAGGCCCCACGACACCTCCTCCAGGGCCAGGCCCCACGGCACCCCTTCCCGGCCGAGCCACCATGCAGACCAGTCCTCGGGGGTGAGGGCCTCTGGAGATGGGACATGTACCCACGGCTGAGTTAAAATCTAACAAATCACTTTGCGGTTACCTGACCCACCCAGGGACCAGCCCGTCAATCACCTCCCGTATCCGACCCTGTTCTCTGCCCCAGGTCACAGCGGTCAGCAGAGGAGCATACGCCTCAGAGAGAGAAGGGCTTGTTATGCCCAGGCTGGGGAAATGTCACAGAGGAGGGGACATTTGAGCTGGGTCTACACAGACCTGGAATCCACCAGGCAGAGGGAACAGCCTATGCTAAGGTTCTGAGGCCTGAGGATTGGAGTCGATGTCAGCAGAGCTGAGCAGGCCGCTGAGGCCAGGCAGAGGAGGGTCTCCAGTGCCGAGCTGAGGGAGTTCCACAGGCGACAGGGAGCCAGCACGGCCTCGGAAGGGAGTGAAAACAGTATGATCTGGCTTTAGGAGGCCGACTCAGGCAGCCGTGTGGAGGGGACAGGAGATCAGAGACTGGAAGGGACAGAGCACCACTGGGAGGCTCTGAAGTGCCCTGACTGGGAGGTGATGCGACAGCGGGGACAGGAGGGAAGGACAGAAACAGGAGATACCACTCTTGGCCGACAGACACGGTTTCATTTGTTGTGTCCCTGTTCCTCACTACTGACCAGGTTCCAGTTTTGTTCGAGGTGGCGATGTGCCCAGCTCCAAGGTGACAGATCATGATTGGGCTGAGCCAAACGTCCAGATCCCATTCCTGTCTGCCAGACTCTCTTGCAGCTAGGAGCAGCCCTGTGACAAGTTTTGGCCAATGAGACCTAAGAGGGACTCTGTGGCAGGGGCCTGTTGGAGTGTTTGCTTTCCTGACCCAGAGAGAGGGGCAAGGCCGGCATGGTCTCCTCCTTTTCTCCCTCCAGCCTGCCTTGAAGGCAGGTGTGACTTCTGGACCTGCAGCAGCTACATTGCATCCACGAGGCAAAAACATGAGGGATGCCAACGGGATCTCTGAGATGCTGGTCCTGGAATCACTGAGCTGCAGAACCCGCTGCGAACCTCTGTGCTTCTTGTTATTAAAGAAATAAATAAGTGACCCCCCGTTTGTTTTAGCTGCTACCCATATCTCTGTTCGCTGCAGCCTTCTGCATTTCCAGTGGACACACCACCCATTTGCCCCTCATTCCTGAGTTGTGACCAGCAGGGCTTGGGGTCTGTTTGGACGTGGAGATGAAAGAAACAGCAGTGTCAACAGTGACACCCACATGCCACCCATATTCTGACTAGGATGGTGGGAGGGGAGCAGCGCCGATCAACTCCGTTTTGGGCATGCTCATTTGAGAGGCCTCTTGGGCACCCAGGTCAGGGTCCAACAAGAGCTGGTGTGTGGCTCTGGAGCTGGGTTGGGGGCATCTCAGCTGCAGAGGGAGAGGTGAGGACCCCGGCGACTGTGGCTAAGACCCTCAGCGAAGAGCAGTGCGCAGGGGGAGGGGCTGAGAGAAACACGGGGAGGGAGAGCAGCCAGCCAGCGGAGGTGTGGACAGATGAGGAAACTAGAAGCAATTGTGACTCTGCTATGGTAGCAGTTGGGAAACAGGGGAGGAGCTGGGGGCAGGGGCTGCACCTTCAAAGCCTCAGAGCTGACCAGGACTTCAGGAGAAATGATTTCAAAGTCTGCACACCCAGGCCCAGCCGCTGCTGGTTCCCAGGGGACTGGGCTGCTTGGCATCTCAGGCTACCTCAGGACGGGGACGCAGGAGGCTGCCATGGGGCGGAGGGGTGTGGGGGTGTCTCAGGGGGACAGTGGACGGGCAGAGGAAATCCCCTCCACTCCCAGAGTCACTTGTGGCCACTGGCAGCCTCCCCACTCACTTTCCACACATGCCCTGTGGTGACACCCTTGGGAGAAACTTCCTCCTCCACACGCTCCCCTGAGGCTCTGCCTCTCGTGGGTGTTTCAGCTCCGTGGCTGGGGGTGGGCAGGAAGGAACCGGGGGGGTGACAAAGGCCGCGGGCAGGGAATTGGGCAGGTTGGGCAAGAGGAACCACGGCTGACATTTCCTGAGCCCCCTCCAGGCGCTCTTCTAAGACAGGGTCCCCTTGCTACAGCCAAGGAAACTGAGGCACAGAGAGGCTGACAAGCTTGCCCAAGAGGCAGGGCTGTCCCTGGTCTGAAGGTGAACTCAGATCAATCCCAGCCCTGCCCAGCCTCAGGCTCCCCATCTGAAATAATAATAGGAGCAAGCCCCTGGAGGCGCCCCCACAGCTCGGAGGTTCTGAGCACATCCACCGGCCTCTGCCTGCCTGGGCCTCACAATGACAGAACCCCATGGGCAGAGGTGCAGCAGGAGCCTGGCCGTTAGTCCGTCCCTCCAAGAGTCAGTGTGCGGTGGGCAAGCAGCCGCTTCTAGGAGGGGGGCCGCCCATCAGGAGAAAAGCAGGACGCGGTGCAAGGATGAGGGCCTGTGGGCCTGAGGGCTGAGGAGGAATTCTTCCCGGAAGCCTCCTTGGCCAGCAGGAAAAGAAAGAGAAACTGACCATAGGGTGGCAGGCAGGGGGAGCACTGAGAGCCAAAGGCCCTTGCCCTGCGAGCGGGCAAGTTCAAGGATCCACAGTGAGGGAAGCGGGTGTCTTCTGAGTGCATCTGAGCACAGAGCTGGCGGGAGAAGCAATGAGAGAGGAAGCCGGTGTGGCCGGCAGGGCCCACTGCTGAAGGGCCGTGTGTCTTGCCCCAGGTGGTGGGGGTGAAAGAGACGCCATGACGGGAGGGCATCAGCCCATCTGTGCATACCCAGGGCAGGAGGGCACAGACAGAAGAGGGAGACCCGAACCCCAGTACCCTAGGACTCCTCTCTGTGCTCTGGCTCCTCCCACTCTGTAAAATGGGGATCATACCTGCACATACATCACAGGAGAGTCAGGAGGCCCCACTAGAGAACCCCCATGAGAGCAGGGACCTTGCCCACTCTGCATCCCCCGCGCTCAGAACTGCAGTGGGCACACAGTAGGTGCTCAACAAGGGCCACTATCTGTATCTGTGCTTGAGCAAGTCCTCTGGTGGGCGGAGTGGGGATGGTCTGGCTGCCTGCTGAGCAGAGCTGGGAAGCTGCCAGGGTGGGGGGTGGGGGTGCAGCAACCTCAACTGGATGTGCCCCTAAAATAACCATTCCCCTGGAGGCCTCAGCCAGGACCCCTCAGAACTGAACTCAAGTGAGAGCCCCCTCGGCCCAGGATGCTCATGGCTCATACACACGCGTGCTGTTCATGCCAAGTCCACTCGGGAGCCTGGACAGGAGAGGCCGAAGGTTGGAAAGACCCTTGGGCGGCAGCCAGTTTAAGTTTTGTGGTTCCTGCGCACAGTAGGTGCTCAAAACACGTTTGTTGGAACTAAACTCACTGCCCTCGCTTAGCCCTTTCCATCTTCGGACAGCTCGGGCCTTAGAGAGTCCCGCTGGGGGACTCTGTCGCCCGCCCATTGGACCCTCTGCCTTGCCCTCGAGCAGAACGCCCGCGGTCCCACTCTCAAACAAGGCCTCTGGGCAGGGAAGCCAGTGGTTCCAGGGCTGGGGCGGCACCATCCTCTCGGCGGCCATGGGCAGCTGAACAGGGGCAGGGAGCCATGTCTCTGACCCACGTACCCTGAGGAACGGGAAGTGCCACCGCCTCCACAGCAGCTGTTTTCTGAAGGCTCGAGTTTGGGTGTGAGGCCCAGTCTCCAAAGAGAACTTGTGGGGAAGCGGGGTTGGGGTCTGGGGGGTGACCTCACCCCAGCGCCCAGACCAGCTCTGTGGCTCACCAAGGCCGTTGTTGATCCGCCCTGTAAACACCGGCTTCTCCCGCCCCTCCCTCGGCACACAGGCAGATAAGCTTTCCTACTACCATCCAAACGCGGAGACCGCCCCCACCCCGACCCCCACCCCGCCAGGTTCCATTTCCGGCCTGATGCCCGCACGGCCCTTTGCTGCCCACTGCAGCCCACACCATCCTGGCGCATCTCCGGCGACCCTCGGAGTCACCTCCTCAGTCTGCACGCTCTTTTTCTGATGTCACCTGCTGTTCCAGGAGGACAGGAGCCAAGCCCAGGTCCTCAGATCCCCCACAGTTTGGATCACAGGCTGGAAACATTCAGAAAATGCTGCTATAGGTGAACCCAAGCGCTGGTGAGGCTGTGCTCCAGGCCCAGGCCTTGCCAGTGACTCCCTGTGCCCCAAGTAAGTTCTCTGTCCTCCTTGAGCCTCGGTTTCCTCATCTGTACAATGACAGGACTGGACCAGAAGGACCTGAGAACATTTTCCAACTCAAAGGTCCACTCATTCATTCATTCATTCATTCAGCATAGCTCGTACCAGCATTGCTCTACTTTCTAGGGATACAGCAGTGACCAAAAGTGACAAATACCGCACCCTCGTCAAACTCGCTTCTAAAGGGGGAGCCAGTGGCCAAGAAAACAAATGAGTTCGAATAGCATTGCAGTAATATGAAGACGGTACAGAAAAAGAAAGCAGGGCAAGAGGTCAAAGAACAGTGATGGGGCAGTCAGGGAAGGCTTCTGGGAGGAGGTGGCATTTGAGCCAAGCCCTGGATAAAGAGGGAGAACAAGCCAGATTCTGTGTTCTGTTTGAATAAAAGATGAAAAGCCACTACTGACCACAGTGTGGAGCAGTGAGCCCAGCCTGGGAGACAAATCACCTGAGTCCCCATCCGGACCCGGCCACCCACTCCCGTGTGACTCTGGGGAAGTCACTGCTCATCTCTGAGCCTCAAGTCTTCATCTGTGCTTGCGGGAGGTGAAACCGCAGCCCAGTTTCCTTAAAACAGTTCCAAGACTCTACATTTCTGAGTATTTAGGTTCTGACTCAACTCCGCCTCTCAACTTTTGCTATTATTAAGTGGCTGCAGGAGGCCGACCTCTGTCCCCGGGCCTGCTGCGAACAGCGAGGAGGCCCAGCTAGGGCAGCACCCTGCACTCACCTCTCAGCCCGCAGCTGCTGGGCCGCGGCCATGGCCGTCAGAGGTCCAGGAGAGTGGGAGACGGGGGGTCTCGCCCAACCAGGCCCCGACGGAGTTCGCCTTTCACTTCCCTCCAGCCACCCTGCATCTGGGCTGTGGTCCCAGGAGTCCCAGGGAGCCGCCCGTGGGGAGGCCCCACCCCCGCTTCTCTCAGCTCTTGCACAGGCCCCTCCTTCAGGCTCTGGGTCTGGCCAGTGGCCCATGCTTCCTCTTCCTCACCGCCCAGCTGCGCTGATTTGGGGAAACGCACGCCCCCAGATGCCAGGTTTCCAGGAGGCCACTGATTTGGGGCCTTTGGGAACTTCCTCGAGGCCAGTTCTTGCTGCCAGGCCTCAGGTGGGCATCAGAGAGCCCCACTTGGTCAGAGACAGGGTCTCAGGGCTGGCTTAGCCACCACAGGCCCTTGTCACCTTGGGGAGTCACTCCTCCTCCTCGGGCTCATCAAGCCAAACCCATGCACCCAAGTGATTCACTGGGCCTGGAGTGCTGGCCTCTACCATGCCCGCCATCCCTCAAGCCCCGCTCAAATGCCGCCTCCTTCAGGAAGCCCCCCCTGATTTCCCCAACAGAGTTAGTGCTCACGGGCCCCTCTGTCATACTAGACTGTGGAGGTTGGTTTATGTTTCTGTCTTCCGCTGCCCCTGGAGCTCCGGGCTATAGTTCCTCATCCCTAGAGCCTCGGGCCTATGCAGGCCTGGCACAGCCCATCCTCTGCAGGGCTGCCACCCAGAGTGAGCCCCTGACGCACACCCGATCACACCCTTCCCGGCCGGGGCCCTTCAGCTGCTCGCCCTGCACTAGGAGTCCACACTCCCAGCCCTGCTCCCTCTGCAGCGCTGAAGGTCCAGCTGGCTTCGCTGGCCCCTCTCCCAGCCGTCTCCTTCCCACACCAGCCTCCATTCCCTTTCGAGAAGGCTCCAAGATGCCTGCCCCTCAGGGCCATCGTGCATGCCGTTCCCCTGCTGGAACGCCCTTCCCTGCTCCTTTAAGGCTCGATTTGGAAGTCGCCTCTTTAGCGAGGCCTTCCCCACCTCTCAC